CGTAACAGGTGTAGCCGCCATTTTGAATTTTCCTCTGTCACTTGCACGTGTTTTCTACACAGCCGGGCCGTGCTTTTGAAAGGCCGCATCAACAAGGCAGCTATCGATCTCGAATTTGGAAGTCAGTTTAAGATCTGATGCAAATTCGCTGATTGCAAACTAGCACTGTCGCCAAAAAAGATGGCGGCAACAATAGGATGACAAGAGATGTTGTCTGCTCTTCTACAAGCTAGTCTTGCGCCATTCCGGCTATGTCATACCAAGGCGGTTACTTAAATGAAATAAGGAAATTGGAATTACAATTTGACATTTATTTCTTGAAAAAAAATACACTTTATTTTACCCGAAGCGATATACGAGACAGAGTCTTTTCTTTGATTTTTTTCCACAGCGATGTGGTAAAGTGAGATTTGGAGCACAAAATACAAACGGAAAGGTTATTTAGTTTGATATCTGTTCTTTAACTATTGTTTTCTTTAGTGGTCTCTCAGACAATTTAATCATATGTTTGGAGTTGTTGTGACAAGAGTTAAATAGTGGATTTATTACTGTAAATTATCCTCTCCTCACAGACAGCGACAGACCAAACTAGGGATGGATCAAACGGATACTAATTGATCAAATATCTTTCAGTATCAGTTCCCGTTCAGCATTAGACAGAGGGTTACTGGTGTTACGTTTAAACATTGTTTATCGTTTCTTTTTTTTTAACAAAATGCAAATTGCGCAAACGTATTTCACAGAGCTGTCCTCCCTGTTCAGTTGTTTACCTGCATGGTGTGATTAACCTAACCAAAACCACGGAAGGCGAAACATTCTATTGTTAAATATTGACGTTGGGGGGATAAACGAAATTTGGGCGATTGTGGAGGGATTAAGACGGTTTGCAAAGTGTTTGGTGGGGTCCAGCCCACCACAAGGTACCGTCTTTGAATACCTAATCCTTGTTCGGCATACAGGTATACTCTAACGTGTTTACCACGCTGTGGGGCTTCAGCGTTGACGGGCACTATGGTGTTCGGACCTTGTAAGGCCAATCATTATTTCTTTGTTTCACGTTGTTGGATTCTGAAGGCAGCTGGAGCGTGAAATAATGTGTCTTCATAGTGTAATTGTCAGGAACTGTCATGGTTGCTTTTGGCTAGGATAACCTTTGTCAGTTTTGATGAGTTGGGGTGCAATTGGTTTGGGTGTGGGTTACCGAATTATCCCGTTTCTTGACATTTTGCTATGGCTGTTTGTTGTTCATTTTATGGATATATTCCATGAATCTTATTTTCATTTCGACATCTTTATTAATATCATTAATTATCCTTATAATTTTTCATTACTTTTTTATTATAATATTTTTATAAACGTAGTATTATTGTCATTAAGTTTATATTTCTTGTTTGTTTTGATCGGTCTTAATTGGACAGATATGTTTTAATCCATGGCATCACAACCAGTAACTATGGCGGCTAAGCTTTTCTCATGATCCAATATAACATACCAGCTATTTTTTATATCATACAGTGAGCTTGGAGGTATTATCACAGTCTTATCGGGGCGGTCGGGTAACGGAGTGGTTAAAGCGTTCGCTCGTCACGCTGAAAACCCCAGTTCGATTCCCGACATGGGTACAATGTGTGAAGCCCATTTCTGGTGTCCCCCGCCGTGATATTGCTGGAATATTACTAAAAAGCGGCGTAAAAACACACTCACTCACAATATATTCCTTTTCGTAATTGCTTTCTGGTTACGCTAATAAAGTCTGGAATAGTGCTGTGGAATCGCACAGTCATCGCGCGATGCCAAACCGAAGTGTGTTTTTTTCTAAGAAAGTAAACATTTTCTTGAAAGTAAAACAAAACTCGAGTTATAAATGCGATTGCCGCAACGAGAAACAATTAATTTTCATTGAGGACATCCCAATATTTTTCTAGGGAGCATCATGTTTTAAGTGTCGTCTGTTTTAGCGCGCGCTGTGTATCCATTTAAGGCGGTGAGCAAACACCTTCTAGTCGTCCCTCCTGTTAGGGCCCTTGCATGGCCTTCTCGGACTCCCCAAATGCCCCCCTCAGTGTCAGCAATGATAAGATTAAATTCTCTTCGCGAGATCGATTGTTTAGAATGATTGCGGTGTTTAAATAGCTAATATTGACAAGATGTTCGCCACTGAATCCAAACGCTGAGGTAGCCGTCACACAAACTGTCTTTTGTATTGCTGCTTGAGAATTTTGATTCCGTATGTTGATCAATCCTGGACCTGGGGAGCGTTTATAGTGATGGTCATTTGCACGACTTCAACAGGTATAGAGATTGTTTTCTCCTCAGTGAAGCATTTAGATGCCTGGTGTGACTGCAGTTGAACACAGCAATCATGCTGCATGCAGACAATAGGATTTGAAACATGTCTGTATCCTGCGGTAGACATAGTTTTCAAACATCAAACGCTTTTAAACTGAGCAACGTAAAAATGAACTTGAATTGGCTTGTGTGCTATTGTGAAACAGGATAACTGAAGAGCTTAATACCGAAAAAGCTGAGGTGTTTTATGATTCAGATTAATTTTCTTTGAGATTGAAAGAACACGTTCAAAAGGAGCAAATATTGTTTTAGTTTGAAAAACGTTAATGCTTGAATGTCACATACCTGACTAAAACCATATATTTTGAACGACAATCCAGCATGATAGCAGCATCATGTACCGCGTTGCTGAGATCGTACACAGACCACTAGAAAATGGATGATCGCCAGCTGGAGTGCGCAATCTGAAATCATTCCTCCATCAACAACTAAGAAAAAAGCCACGGGAGGGAAAAACGAGTATTGATACGATATAGACATTGTTCTTGTCTTCATGTCCCATTTAAGTGCTATTGACTTTTGTGTATTACACATGACTGTCTTTATCCGCCAAATCCTATATTGTACTTTTGCCTTTAGACGTTGTCATAAACACATCTCACAATAACCAAATCTATTTCACGTAAATTTCCATTGAACGCCCCACAAAGCCACTTATCGATGTTAGTAATGGTGCATGGCCAAGAAAGGAGATTATTGAGTGAATCAAAATACCAAGATATCAAGAGATTGTCATTTGTCTATAACGCCTTCGAGATTGATATCTGGTCCTTAAAAGAACTCGTCTTCTTGCAATGGGTGTGCCATGCTTGAGTGCATGTCAAATATTTCACATGACAGGCCTGTTTATTCTGAATCTGATAACTCATTAAACAGGTACCAGCAGTTTTAATTGAATGCTCCTTTGAAAGTACCATTGATTGTATCAGATATTACTATCAAATTGGAAGACCGTCAAGTGTTTCCATTGATAAACTGAAATAGACTATCTCTTAAAAGGAATGCATTTGACAGGCGATTACTTGATAATAACGGTACTGAAAGTAACGTCACTGTTTACATTTCAGTGTTGGGGAAAGTACATAAAGGAGGCAAAATAGACCCATTTGGTTAAGATAATTTCTATTATGAACAGTATCATGATCATACTCCAATCAGAGATTTGAATAGTTTGAGTTGTGGGTACCTTTCTTGTGTGCTGGTCTGTACTCTCAGGACACAGGTTTCTTCAAATTGTGTTTCAAATAAACATATCAGCGACGTAATCATATTACATGACACACAATGAAAAGTTTCAAATACTATTTATATAGTCCAAAATGAATTCAGTAACAGATTCCATTGGGCGTAAAAGGCAGAATAGTGATAAACATTATAACGAATGGGACACTAAAAAACAAGAAATGTTTATCAACGGCCACTGACTATATTCAAATAAAATTAGTGGCGACAATAATCACGTTCCATGATGATCTAAGAAGTTTCAAATCTAACGCAAACGGTCCAAACATAACCTATGGAATTCAATAATGTCTGGTACAGCTGAATTATACGATTTTCCAAAGTATGACATCATCGCAATAGAGGGCATGGAGCCGTGATCATCTTTTTTTAGAAATATTTTTTAAGTTTGTTGTTTGATGTTTAAACTTCTCGCCTTGTGTTGGTTTCCTTGTACGATTGACATTGCCTTGCTATGGAGGATTATCTTCCTTCCACGGCATGACACTATTTATCAACATGCATCATTTCAAACAGTGTAGTGTTTAATATGCCAAATTGCTGAAATATGAACGTCAAGAATGATGCCGATGGTGTAAAAGCCAATGCTCGTATGTGTGGTTACCAATCGTTAGATTTGAAGAAAGCAAAAACAGTTTTGTGAATAATGTCCGCAATTTGTGACATAAAATGCCAGAGATTGGCGATATTTGACAATGAGAGGAGGGTTATTTACTCAAATTGAGTCAACAATGTGATCTAAAATGGAGAAACAAAATATTTGCCCTACCAACAGATGTTATGAGAACACCAGTTAGAGGTCACAGCTCGTGATACAACCAATTTGCTTATGCAGTTTGAATAATATCTAACAATACGAATTATTCCTATCATTCTGAAAACAGATTGATACATATGCCTGGGTATGACCTTTTTCTCCTATCCTGTAGTCATTTTACATGGTTGTGTCCCCAAACAATCTTCTTTGACATTTTTATGCCTGAAAGAATTTTGAATACAGAAGACACGGCATCTCTCCAGAGTCTTTTGATATATTTTACGAGATAAACGATATAGTGATGTCATTTGATTGTGACTTCGTGGTAACCGTTGACGATACAATGATCTGAAAAGCATTGTGATGCAGTTTAATTGTAGCGATATCTCCCAGGCGATATCTCTTGTGGAAGCCAGTTTTGGATGATAGATTAACATATTCTGATGCGGTTGCTTTGGATACCTTATTTTTTTTCTTCAAATAAATCATGCAAACACTTTACTTAAAAAAAGATAACTTAAAATGATTGCTTAGCTGAAATGGCATGAAAAACATGCCCTTATTTAAAATGAAAACTCAATTGTTCTTATACAATGAAAAGAATACATCCCAATTTCAGCTAATTGATTTTATTTTTTTAATCTTATTGCAGCCCGCTACACTTCGGGCACCGAAGAGGGTGAACAATACGTCCCAGAATTTGCAGCCAATGGTGAGTCTCTCCAGACCCCATTTCACTCTCTCTCTCTCTCTCTCTCTCTCTCTCTCTCTCTCTCTCTCTCTCTCTCTCTCTCTCTCTCTCTCTCTCTCTCTCTCTCTTACACCCTTTCTTAAGCGGAGAATAGGTGAATGGTTTCGGTATTGTGCGTCCAGGACCGACCGTAAATTGTAACAACACATGGAATCAAACTCAGATCTTCTACATGCCTCCTTCTTTACACTGAACGACCGTAAATGGTTTTATTATGTATATCATAATAATAACAAAAGTAATGTTTGCAATAGCGGCCATATAGAAACTTTAAGTCGTTCCAACTAATTCAAAAGATCGTCACGATATGGCTGAAATATTGCCGATGTGACGTAAAGCATTAACTCACTCACTAATTCAAAAGATCAGGCTAGGCATGACAAGTTGCATGTGTCATTGGTTACACGCCGACGTTGTCGTTTTTCTTTCATCCAAGTTCTAGATATCATTCAACTCAAGAGCAGTGTTACTGTATGTACACTGTGAAAATGTTCTTTAGTTTACGTAATCAAATCAAACAGAATAAAAATACCTTTAACTCAATTATCTAATTTTTATACAGCGTGCCCGAAGCCTGACTAGCTATCGGCAAATAATTAAAATTCTCACCGGAATTGGAATGGCAAAGACTGTTTATCCTCCCGTAACAAGGTCGAGGAGACCAAAAAATCGACAGAAATGTCCAAACTTTAAGTGTCCTTCGCTTTCTAGAGGAAAAAAGAAGTAGAGGTGACAGAGAAGTCAAACATACAAGTTTAAATCTCACCTTTAGCAAGGAGCAACAGCTTTTGGGTAAACACCAACAGAAGGAAATATCTACAAATGCGTTTCTTTTGGACCTAGTAAATCTGGCAGCTTAGCTCGGAGAGACTTTTTCCTTTTTTTTTTTTTTTTGGCAATGTAGAATATGGAAAAAGACAGTTCTTGTTCACGCGGCCAAAGGAAATAGTGTAGTCTGTGTCTGTGCTGTGCTGAGGTAATATATATATATAATGGCGTCCACTGAGATGCGGAAATGTCATGAGATATTGGTTGATACAATAAACACTTAAAGAGAAACAAGGATCGGGATAATTTGCAAACCTAGACAATTTAATTCAAAACCGACTTTGTTTTACTTTAAGATCCAATTTTATTTTGTCTATCAATCTAGCAGTTGATAAATATCCTAAATGCACAGAGAAAATGGCTCAGTTTGGTACAAAGTCTAGACATGGACATTAAATCGTCTCCTGTTAACCCTGTCAGTTCTAAGGTCACTTTGTAGTGGCCATTGTGTGAATGAAATATGGAATCCTAATATAGCATTTCTGGTTAAGACGTTTGAGTATGAACAGCACAATGGTAGTATGGAGTCGGAGCTAATTAGTTATCAGTGTACTTGTCATTGTAATATTTCACATCACAGCTACCTAGAATTGATAAAGAATAACTGAAAGCAGTTGCATTAGAAAACAAATTATAATGTGAGATGATATCCATCTTCTGTTACGATCCACTATTAACAACTAAATGTACGTAAAATCACATCCAATTGGATGACAAAAGCTCATCACAATATTAATAACTAATCATCACATGGTAAATGGCAAGATTCATTCATTTTCCATATGTCAGATGAGAAACATGTGGACTTTAATTTTTTGTTTATGAAAAACATTTTACTTTAGACGCGATAAGATCATTTCTAAAATGATTTTGGCTTTGTGATTCGTTATCAAACACGTCAGTTTCAATTTTTGTCCAGCAAAAACATTCCGATCGAAAATTTATTGCTTTATCTAAGTGCTTCTCTACCCCTTCGTAAGTTTCAATATGACGATTATTAAGTACCCCACACGCGTATTTGAGATCCACGCATGTGTATAGAGGGTCTGTTGAGAGTCAAAAGCTCAATAGACAGTGTATAATACAAATCCTGATGGAATCACTGCATTTACGGTGGTAATCTTATTAAGGAACAACCAACCCCTAGATTGGAATGAAGTAATTAAAGACAGGAATTCGCGGACCCGTCGTTACATTCACCAAGAAAATATTTCTATGTCAGATACAACATCATATCACAAGCGTCAGTCAAAGCCTTGTGCCATTTTTGGAGCTCCGTGCAAAATGAAAATGACTGCGTGCTGCGAGACTTGTATCTGTGGAGGGAACGATTCAAGGGATGATAGTACCCATTGTAATCTCATCCAGGACAAGGTAGCTAGTTGAAGAAATATTTGTCCAATTCAGAAATGGATTTGTCACATAGGTGTCTTAAAGGGGTGTGTTTAGGTTGATAAGAGGCATACTCAGGTGATAACCCTGACATGGACCTTATCTCTCATCCTTTGTTACACAAGCATATATAGGGAGAAGATGAAGAATTTATGAAGAGGCTTATGTCAGAAATAAAAGCTTCATATGACAAACTAATTATGTTGATGTGGCTACCCCGATTCCTTTGATTTATAAAAGTAAACACCAGTTTATTACCAGGCATATTCCTTTTAGTCATTCACAATGCATTCAAGTAATATTATTTGTACATATGGTTCATTAACAGTAATTATGACGTGTAAAAGATAATACGTTATAAAAAAGTACACGTTTGGGAAAACTATCCATGAAAATTGGGAAGTTTTAATCAAATATTTCATTTTCTGAGTAAAGTCTTTTCATGCGAGACTTCATCCCACTAATAATGTCTTTTGACGTATAATATGATACGTATTAATAGAGTTGCTGTGCGATGAATATAGGTTGTTTACATTCCAGTGGCCATGTGCTTGGAATGAATATTACCAATGGGACCATCTTAAAATGTCAATGGCGGACATACATATTTTGTAGCTATGGTATTTAGATATAATTGAGATATTTCAAATGTAACTATCTCAGGACAACATTCGTTCAGTTACCTTTAATAAATAATAAATTGAACAAAAACAACGTCGTTCATACCGACCTTAGGGACCTACAGCCTCAAATGTCATAATTAAAACGTGTCATTTGGTTGAAGGTAAAAAATTATATCAAAGAAACATATCTAAAATAACTAATATGATTTTCTTTTTTCAAAAGAACCGTTTTATGTTCCAAAGGAGTTGGATATAGATTTGTAATGGGAACCGTTCCAATGAAAGAATAATAAAAGAACATTCCCAAAGCTGGCGGCATTCTTGAAAAAAACTGAAGAAAGAAACGACCGAGTGTAAAATTCAGCCAAAAAGAGGTTTATTCTGGAAAATACATTTTAGGAAAAATACATTTGTAAGAAAAAGTGAACAATCTTTTCTATGGGAGTGGGAGAACAATACGGCCTCTGCCTAGGAGACAGTGTATAACTTGCGTTGACTGCGAACCATAGTGCGTCGATCAAACACTAATTAGGTGTCTTGGGTTTTGCCCTCGCTAAGCCCAGGTGAGGTCCCTGCTATATTTGCTTGATTTGAAGGTAATTAACGTGAATGGATGAACTTTTAACACCTGTATATGCATCGGATTCGAGGATCTAGGTCCCATTGCGATCATTACGAGAATGGCTTCTCCCTAAATGAGATACGGGAAACGTTATAGCAGAACGAGCACCTGCTCATTGGTGTTAGTAAATAGAGAGGCTCTAGCTTTTAGACAGGTCTCAGTATGCCTTGGCCGTAGTGTTTGGGCGTGATTTGTAGCTAGTGCCAGCTTAGAGGTTTTGTGAGGGATGGTCAGTCTAGACCAGGCAAGTTGTTTGCACTGTCTTCTCCTGTGTATAATGTCTGCTGAGACAGGCCGATGACGTGGGTTTCCTGGGCAGTTTATAACTTAGATGACCACGTCTGGACCTCCATGGAACCTCAGAGGAACGTTCTAGTGTAGGCGTTTAGTCTTGACCTGTCCCTGATAGTTTGTGCATCTCGAGTATTGGGAGATTGAATGATCCAGCTTATGTTTGTACAACGTGTTCTGATGTCTGTACTTCAAGGGGAATACTGAAATAACCTCAACCGATTTCAATACAATACATCATTCATGCTGGCTCTGTATGTTCTTTGACATAGGCATACACATGTATGTCCCATTCTGTTATTGTATGTCATTCATTGGACGCAGGAATGAACATTATTTGTGCACGTCCAACATGGATTACTTCCAATACTGATGTTTCAACTGACTTTTTATCATATAAAATTATTATTAAGTTTATCTTATATTTTCAATAGACCCAAAAGCGTGTTCTGTTGTCCTTTGGAGTGGTGGTGTAGCCCACTGTTTTCTCGTTACGTCGAAGACCCGGGTTCGATTCCCACACTGATACAATGTTTGAAACCCATTTCTGCCCCCTTGCATAATATTGATAAAAGCGGCGTAAAACCATACTCACTCATTATGTTGTCCTTTGAAGCTCCAGAAAAAAACAACGCAACTGTAAATAATTAATCTTCCAACTAACTGATAGTGTTATCTCCTATCAACGTATCAAACATAAGATTGAATCAAAAGATGTCAATGAAAAATAAATAACTTCGTGACGGGGAAAGATACATGATGACACAATATTGATAAATAACCAATCTTTGTCCTTAGATGAAAGCGACAAAATCCTTTCCACCTTTCGATGGTTTCCTTTCGATGGGTCTGTACGATACTGACTGTGTCGTGAGCATGTTTTTATGAATCACTATCAAATAGTGACGGTACAAGTGCTATCCTCCCCAAACGACGACACCCTTCACGAACACATGCAAAGGCAAGTCAATTGTTCACCTGAAAATAACACGGGAACATATGGTACAATTTCAAATAGGGAATTGCATCGGACATCAAACACATTCCACAAGCTTCCCAATCAATCCCTTCCTTACCAAATAATAACACCAAAGCAAAAAATAATACAGCCGATAGCAAATGTTCATGACCACACCTTCTTGTAATGCCTAGAGTAAAGGATTCAAACGCCCATGTAATGCCTAGAGTAAAGGATTCAAACGCCC